GAAATCGATCCAGTGATAATAATAAAACTAAATTCTGAGTCAGATAAGTTCCAGAAAGAGTCGAACTAACTCAAAAGTTTATGGCACAAATCTGCATTCAACAAAATGTCGATAGTACGTGAATCAAATAATTTAGGATCTGCGTGAATATTTGAGCCCTTAAATAGGAAGAAACAGTAAACGAGGGAAAATTTTAAGAAATAGATGGCAATGCCAATGCACGATCATCTATTACTAAGGAATCAAAAGGGCTTCCATTCTTCCAAAGAACAGATTTTTTGTGAATCAGCCGAAACTACACAATTCAGACAAGAAATAACGGCAACAGTTTAAACTTCTATTGGAAATATTCTGTCAGAAACGATGGTTCCGATTGAGGTCTATTAAGGTCCTAGCTGGATGCGAAACACCGCTATGGTAAATATTCACCATCGCTGTTCCCAAAAGCACTCACAAATTTTGAGAGATTCCTGAAGACAAAACACATGCAGATGATTTGGAGGGACGAGAAAAATCGGTTCGGTTGGTGACAGATTTGATAGATTCTGACTAACCGGCAAAACAGATGGAGTCGACCTACTCGGGGTCACACATAACCTACGATGTTTCACAATATAAAACCTAGCCGAGGGAGAAATATTTGTGAGCCGAGGACATTTAAAAAGCAAGTGGGAATGTTGGGGACACTGGAAACAATAGTTATTTTATTTACTTAGAAGAACGAGAAAAAATAATACTAGTCATGTTACTATGAAAATTGTTAGTTTTAGACTCTTGTGCTTATCATTTCCTCTAATATTAAGTAAACACATGAGTGTCCGAATTCGTTCCGACAAAAAGCTATCTAGATATTTAATCTTTAACACTTTGCTCTCATAAAGGTTGTGCAATTTCAGGGAGCCTTGTCAAAAACATAAAGACCAACAAGTAAAAAAGCAGTAAGTTCGGCCGGGCCGAACATTGAATACCATGCACCATTTGGAACGAATTAGGAAATTTTCAAAAAAAATGAAATCCATTAAAAATTCAGATAAAATCTTAAAAATACCGAATATCATAAGGTGCCGATATATTGGGGTGATATACAATATTGTGGACCTATACAGACTAATCTACGTCTGGGGGTAAAGTACTCACAATGAACTTCTTGTGTTGAATTTCAGACAATTCCATTGAGAAATATGCTAAAATTCATCAAAATACCGAATATCGGGGGTACCGTTATATGGGGGCTATACGATATCGTGGACCACTATAGACAATTATCTTGCAGGGGGTAAAATACCCACAAGGAACTCTTTGTGTGGAATTTCAGACAATTCCATTGAAAAATGTGGCTAAAACCATCATAATACCGAATATCGGGGAGTACCGTTACATGGGGGCTATACGATATCGTGGACCTATATAGGCTGTAGAGTATTGCACATATCGAGTATTTATTGTATTTTATATTGTATGCAGAACCTACTGTAATAACGTTGTTTAGTACTCTCACATTATTTCTTTCCCTCTCATTCGTTGTTTATAAAATACCACTCAATCACAACTACATTGTATAAAAGTTATGATGATTGAACGTTACTCTCTTTTGTAAACAAAATAAAGATGCATTAGAATTTGGACTTTGATCCCAGCGGTTGTGTTTACTTTCGTCTATTTGAAAGACATTACATTGGCGAAGAGGAAAGTTTATAGTTGTTGCGGTGTGAATACACTTTTTAAATATATGTGAATACATATCAATCCATTTTTTTTTGGATATAAATAAAAGAACAACAACAATCAGTTTTGCTGAAAATCGAATTAAAAAAAATAATAAAATAAAAATAACAACAATAAAAAGTTAATTCCTCCTAAGATGGAAGATGCTGCCAACCAAAGTTTTAATGCTACTCCAATAATAGTGCTCCAAACATCAAATGTGCCGGAATTTAATCCTAACTTGGCGTCTTTGAATGTTTGGAAGGAGAGGTTGGATATTCATTTTTGTGAAATAAACTGTTTGGACGAGAACACAAAAAAAGTCGATTTTGTTAAAATCAATTGGTGCTGTGCCGTATAGAGTTTTGCATAGTTTATGGAGTCCAGAATCTCCGATGACGAAGTCATATTAGCAGCTGTGCGAGATTTTGGATACACAATACACACCACCAACCATAATATTTAGTGAAAGGAAGAAGTTTCATTTGTATACCAAAGGAGAAAATGAGTCGGCTGAATGGTATGCCCGTGTAAAAACTTTAGCTCTCAATTGCAAATTTGGTGTAAGCTTGGATGCCTTTGTTCTTAACCAATTTGCTATGGGCTTGCCAAATTTTATATTTGAGCGTTTGTGTGAAGAAAACGAGGCGTTAACATTCCAAAGTGCATTAAGAAAGGCGATGATATTGGAAACGAAGAATATGGCAAAGGCAGAGGAGAAAAAACAATGCACTGTGAATTTGGTTAACGGTCAAAGATATGCAAAAAATAGTTATGGTGGTGGCAAAAGCGGCGC